AGCAGGAACTGCAGAGAGCCCCCTTCTGTGGCACAGGTGTACAAGAAAGGATAGGCTACCACTACAAAACAAGCATGCAACCATGCCACCTTGCCCAAACTCTCCTCTCATTTGAGGAAGAGGCCTTAAACCTCTGAGGGAGGCAATAATTTGTTGCTTCTGGGGGTGAGATAGATACAAAAACTGTCTTCCTCATGGAAACGTAAGAAAACTCTCACGGGCCCCAAATCCTGTACCAGTACATAGCAGAGGTAAGCCACAACTAGGAAGAGGCAGGAATCTCTCTTTCACCCATTATTTGCCACAAGGCAAAGTTTGGCTGCCAAAAGCAGAAGAGAAAGGAACATTGTCAAAGACCCACTCCCAAGGCACCTGGACTGAGACAGGACCAGGAGGAGAGAAAACGCCTGTATCTACCATGAGCTTAGGACTGAGTAACAAACAACAGGCTACTGCTGAGGATGGGATCAGAGCATGGAGAGAGACCTCCCTCTGTGGCACAGGCAAACGAGACAAATGAAAACTGAGGATACAGACACTGAGAAAAACCCTCCAGTACCCCAGCACTATTTCTAAGCACAAAGTTACAGCAGCCCACTGAATTTGAAGCTTGTGGTACACTGAAGCTAATGACAGTAATAACAAAACTCAAGCCTAGCTTGGCTCCTGACTGTACTGACTGAAGCCTCCATACTCAGTAAAGATATAGAACACTTGAACAAAATTGTCAATATATTTGACCTAATTGACATGTAGAGTACAGTAACAGCAGAATGCTCATGCTTTCCAAGGGCATGTGGAACACTCAACAAGATAATCTGAATGGCCTCACACATGTTTTAAAAATTAAATTCTTTATTAAAAAATGTTCCCGTGGGCTTCCCTGGTGGCGCAGTGGTTGAGAGTCTGCCTGCCGATGCAGGGGACACGGGTTCGTGCCCCGGTCTGGGAAGATCCCACATGCCATGGAGCGGCTGGGCCCGTGAGCCGTGGCCCCTGAGCCTGCGCGTCCGGAGCCTGTGCTCCGCAACGGGAGAGGCCACAGCAGTGAGAGGCCCGCGTACCGCAAAAAAAAAAATGTTCCCGCAAAGAAAACTCCAGCCCCCAATAATGTTATTGGGAATTCTACCAAACATTTAAGGAGGAAATAATATCAATTCTATACAAATTCTTCCAGAAAACAGGAGAGAAGGGAACACTTCTCAACTCAATTTAAGAGATCAGCATTACCTGATATCAAATCTAGACAAAGATGTTAAAGTAAAACTATAAACCAATATCCTTTATAAAAATACTCACAAAATCTTCAACAAAGTATTAGCAAATTGAATCAAGAAATATATAAGGACAATGCATTATAGCCAAGTAGAATTTATCTTAGGAATGCAAAATTGGTTCAACAATCAAAACCAAATAGTATTATTCACCATATCAACATATATTAAAAAATCACATGAGCATCTCTCCAGATACAAGAAAAGTATTTAACAAAATTCAACATCAATTAGTAATAAAACACTCAGAAAACCAGGAATAGAAGAGAGCTTCTTCAACCTAACAAAAAGCATCCATACAACATTGCACTGGTGTCACTAGCCAGTGTAACAGGCAAGAAAAAGAACTAAAAGGCACACTGATTGGAAAGGAAGAAGTAAAACATCTTTATTCGCAAATGACACATATACTTGGAAAATACTAAGCAATCTACAAAAACGGTACGATAACTAACAAGTAAGTTTAGTATCTCCCCAGGATACATGGTAAATATACAAATATCAATTTTATTTCTGTATACTAACAACAAGTAATTGGAAACTGAAATGAGAAAAAAAGTCAGCATGTTAATAGTATCAAAAAAACATGAAATACTTGGGGAAAATCTTAATAAAATATGTGCAATATTTGTGCACTTAACTATAAAACAGTGATGAGAGAAGATGCAGATAAGAATAAATGGAGACACAAAGCATGTTCATTGGCCAGAAAATTCAATACTGTTAAGATGTCAAGTCTCCCCAAATTGATCTCTACATTCAACATAACCCCAATACAAATCCCAGTAAGTTTTTTGTAGTAATTTACAAGATGATTCTAAAATTCATATGGCAAAGCAAAGTACCTAGAGTAGTCAAAACAATATTGAAAAAGAGAAACAAAGTTGGACGACTAATTACCTGATTTCAAGACTTACTATAAAGTTATAAAAATCAAAATAGTGTGGTATTAGCATAATAATAGATAAATAGATCGATGGAACAGAATAGAGTCAGAAATATTCGTGCATGCACACGTGCGCACGCGCGCGTGTGTGTGTGTATACTAAATCAATTTTCAGCAAAGGTGCCAAGAAAATTAGTGGAGAAAGGATAGATTTGTCAACAAATAAGTACTAGAAATAGGTATGGTATTGGACATACACATGCAAAAAACAACAACAACAAAAAGCTTTACATTACATCATATATAAAAATTGACTTAAAATGGATTCTAGATCTAAATGTGCAAGCTAAAACTAATAAAACTTCTAGAACAAAACATAGGAGAAGCTTTTTTTTCTTTTCTTTTTTTTAAACATATGAAATTTATCGTTTTCTGGTTTTCCCTCCTGACATGATACCATTTATTTTTTTTTATTTTTTTTAACATCTTTATTGGAGTATAATTGCTTTACAATGGTGTGTTAGTTTCTGCTTTATAACAAAGTGAATCAGTTATACATATACATATGTTCCCATATCTCTTCCCTCTTGCGTCTCCCTCCCTCCCACCCTCCCTATCCCACCCCTCCAGGCGGTCACAAAGCACCGAGCTGATCTCCCTGTGCTATGCGGCTGCTTCCCACTAGCTATCTACTTTACGTTTGGTAGCGTATGTATGTCCATGCCACTCTCTCACTTTGTCACAGCTTACCCTTCCCCTTCCCCATATCTTCAAGTCCATTCTCTAGTAGGTCTGTGTCTTTATTCCCGTTTTACCCCTAGGTTCTTCATGACCTTTTTTTTTTTTCTTAGATTCCATATATATGTGTTAGCATACAGTATTTGTTTTTCTCTTTCTGACTTACTTTGCTCTGTATGACAGACTCTAGGTCCATCCACCTAGATGGATTTCGTTTCTTTTTAGGAAGAGGAACTGTGGACTTTATTTCGTTTCTTTTTATGGCTGAGTAATATTCCATTGTATATATGTGCCACATCTTCTTTATCCATTCATCTGTTGATGGGCACTTAGGTTGCTTCCATGTCCTGGCTATTGTAAATAGAGCTGCAATGAACATTTTGGTATATGACTCTTTTGGAATTATGGTTTTCTCAGGGTATATGCCCAGTAGTGGGATTGCTGGGTTGTATGGTAGTTCTATTTTTAGTTTTTTAAGGAAACTCCATACTGTAGAGAAACTTTTTGAGACCTTGGGGGAGGCAAAGATTCTTAGGCAGGGCACAAAAAGCACAAATCATGAAAGAAATTAATAAAAATGTATGTCTTCAAAATTCTAAATTTCTGCTCTTTGAAAGACCCAGTTAAGAAAATGAAAAGATAAACCACAGACTGGGAGAAAGTATTTGCAAGCTGCATATCTGATAAGGGACTTATGCCATATATAAAGAATCCTTACAATTCAACAATATGAGAACAAACACAATTTTTTTTAATAGGCAAAAGATTTGAACAGACTACTTCACCAAAGGAGATATAAACATTTGATAAGATGCTCAATATCTTTAGTCATTTGGCAAATGCAGTTAAAGCCACAATGGGATATCATTATGCTCCTACTAGAGGAGTGTAATTATAAATAAAAATTAATTAATTAAAAACTGACATCAAGCACTAGCAAGGATGCAGAACAATCCTCATAACTGCTGGTGGAAATGCAAAATAATACAGCCACTTAGGAAAAGTTTGGCAGATTCTTATAGACATACACTTACCATACAACTCAGCAATTCCACTCCTAGGTATTTATCCAAGAGAAAAGAAAACTAAAAACTAAAACAAAGGGCTTCCCTGGTGGCGCAGCGGTTGAGACTCCGCCTGCCGATGCAGGGAAAACGGGTTCGTGCCCCGGTCCGGGAAGATCCCACATGCCGCGGAGCAGCTGGGCCCGTGAGCCATGACCGCTGAGCCTGCGCGTCCGGAGCCTGTGCTCCGCAACGGGAGAGGCCACAGCTGTGAGAGGCCCGCGTACCGCAAAAAAAAAAAAAAAAAACCTATACCAGAAAACACGTATTAGCTTTACTCATAATCTCTATAAACAGAAACAACCCATAGCTCTATAACCAAAACTGCCCAGCAACCAATGAATGGATAAACAAATCGTAGTACATCCAAACAATGAAATATTACTCAACAATAAAAAGGAACAGAACTACTGAAATACCAACAACACGAATGAATTTCAAAAGCATTATGCAAAATGACAGAAACCAGGCACAAAATTTTACATACTGTATGATTCCAGTTATCACATTCACAAAAAAAAGGGAAAGATCTCCTGATCAATCTCTGCATCCAAAGAACTTAGCATATTAGAAAATACTCGATAAACGCCCAGTGGACGGTTAGACGGGCAATCATTGCAGGGAGGGTAGAGTGCAAGAAGGTGATATATAGACGCGGAAACCAAAATGTACCTGGGGGCTCAAACCCACCTACAGGATGGGAAAAGTTGTCCAACCTACCTCCACTGACGCCAGCAGCTTAAAAAATTAGACCCTGTAAAGGACTACAATATGAATGAATAGCCTCGGCGGTTCTCTGGCCTGAAGAAAGGCGTGACGTGCCCCACCTTTCTTTAAAAAAAAAAAAAAATCTATTACTCTCACGCCCGAAACTGAGCAAGTGGAGCTTACACCTGGAAGGGAGGCTTTTCCCTGCGCAGGAGCGGAGCTGGAGAGACCCGAGGCGGGCTTCGGCTTAGGTCAGCGGGGTGCAGAAGAAGGCCGAAGCACCGCCACGGCCCCGCTGGTCTCCATCCCTTCCCACTCAGCCTCACTTACCCAGGCCTGCCGTTCCAACTGAGCGTACAAATTGGAGCCCTTGAGCTTTTGGACTATCTGGGCAATAATGAGAGCGAGATCCGACTCCTCCTGCAACATTTCCCCTGTCCTAGCCCGCCAAGCAGCGGGGGCAGGCCACTACCGGGGAGAGAACCGGCTACGTACGGGGTCCCAATCAGGGCCAGTGACACTTCTCGGGGACCTTATTACGCAGGGACTCCTCCAGCGGGCGTTACCAAGCAACTGCCGGGCCGTGTGTCCGTTCCTCTCTGGTCCCCCCCACGCCTGAAGGTTCCAGCCCCTGCGTTCCGCTGGCAGAAAACGACCTGCGGGGTGGGGGGAGGGGAGTAGCTTTTCACTCCATTGTTCCTGCTTGGTCTGTTGTTGAAAGGCAAGAGGAGGAGCTCTTTCCTCTAGAGCCACAGCGCCTCTGATGCACCAGGGGAAATCAGAAAGTTGTGTATTTTGTGTTTTATTATAAAGGAAAATAATAGGAAAATATTGTAAAGGAAAATAATAACCTTCCAATCTCTACAGAAACAGGGCAGTGCACACAACGACATGGCAAATGACTTCCAAAAATTATGAGGCTGTGATGCTAGCCGTGTGAACTTGGGCCAGGTGCTTAAATTTCAGAACTCAGTTTCCGCCTTAGTAAAATAATACCCAGTTGACAAGATGCTCTGATGATTAGCTGAGGTAACAATTGTGAGGGGGCCTATACTATACTTAGCACTCCATTTTTCCCCCCTTCTCTTTCTGTTCTCTGGGGTCTTATGCCAGGAATAAATAGACGGCATCTCCTTACCTAACAGCTACAACTTAACCAAGAAGCATTTATTGATAGGTTTTCTGTGAAGCATTGGCAATTCCAGGATAGCTAAGACATTGTCCCAGCCTTAAGGAATGTACCATCCAGATTTCTCTTCTTCCATGCACTCATTCGTTCAATCAAAAATCAATTCAAAATTCATTCAGCTTTCAACCTATTGAGCATTTACATACAAGAAACTGTGGACACAAAGGTAAATAAAACATGGTTCTTGACATCAAAGTAACAGAGCAAAATTTTTTAAGAGAACTAGAAGTAGCTGATTTAATTAGTTGAATGACATTCCAAAAGCCAGCTAATATAAGGCCTATGGAACAATACATGTATTAGAATAACCTCACCAAAATAATAAGGAATTAATTTCAAATGTGTGTGTGCATATATTTTAAGCAGAGAAGATGTAGATTCCAAGAAAACAGACCAAGATTGCTGCAAAAACTAGTCTAACTGCATTAAATTTTAATGTGCTTAGGCATCAAGAGAGAGCTTTTGATTCAATAGGCCTCTGGTGGGACCTGCTAATCTGCATTTCTGGCAAGCTCCCAGGAGATGGTGACCCTGGTGGCCCAAGGACTATATTCTGAATAGCAAAGGACTAAACCAGGTGAGCAATAACAATTCAAAGGGACCGGACCTCTGGCATCTATGCACAGTACCCTGGTCTTCACAACACAACTGTTCGGAATATTGTGATGGTAAATACAAATTCCAAATAACCTGTTTGGTCAGGTTCGTTTATTAAAACATCTTTGGAATGAGGCAGGCAAGGAAAAAAAAAGTACTTAAGGCAATTAATGACAGACTCTACAAAACATTCTCCCACACCTCAGAATTTCTCAAACTCATAGATGAGTACATCTCTTCAACTCTTTACAGTGCCTCCATCCCAACACCCCACCCATTCAGGAATCTCCGGCACAAACATCACTATGAACAAAAAAAGAAAACTGTGGAGAAAGTTCTTTTGAGATTGAAAAGGGTGAAGTGATTAATAACTAAAGAGATAACTAAAGGGAAAGAAATGAAACCATGGAGCCGAAGAAAAGGCATGGTGCGTAGAGTCAGAAGACGGTCTAGATTCCCTCCTACTCTGTACCCTTGGAACTGCATGAGTCCCTTCCGTCCTCAGAGTTTCAGCTTTCTCATCTGTAACAAGAGGATAAAATACCCACCTGAGGGGATAGTGTACCTAGTATTAAAAATCAGTAAATATTAAATTGAGATAATTTGGCAAAAACAATGCTCAGTTCGATTGACAAGGGAATAGAAAGTACCTAAAGGAATGTAGCAAAACATGTGAAAGTAGCCAGCACAATTCTTTGCACAGGCAGAGGCTTTAAAAACTTTTCTTTTAAAGAGAAAACAATTTTCAGTCTTAAAGCAGCAATTAAGAAGTTAGGATTTGATTCTGAAGGCATGCCCAAGCAAAAACAAAATTTAATCCTAACATTAAAAAAGTGTTTCTCACATACATAGAAGCGGATGTGTTGGAGTATAATTCAATTGTAGAATGCCCTCGGTTCTCTTTTTTTTTTCAATTCGATTTAGCCAGACTTTTCAGAACACCTGCTCTGTGCTAGGAATGGCAAGGAATACAAGTAAGAAATGGTCCCTTCTCTCAAGGAATTCGCAGTCCCAAAGGGATGGTAAGGCCAGCATATAAAGAGCTGGAATTGTAGACAGGCCCCTCCCACCTGTGTATCTGGACATTTTATTACTTTAAAGTCATTGAAGGTGCAGATTCCCATATTTATCCCTCAAGGGAGAACTTTACCTTGGAAATTCTTACTCTACCTAGTGTGGTTGAGGATTGGGAAAACACTCTATTTCTGACATGTTAGAGTGAACCATGACCCAGACTAACAAATGATAGCAAAAGGGGTCCAAATAATCTGAACGGTTAAAACTGTATAAACGGAGACAACAACAAACTAGATGCAGAGAGAAGCCTCCTTGAAATTGCCTCAAATTCGGAGCAGAGGTACTCTGGGCCAACATGTATAAGCCCCTGTACCCAATCTTGACTTTCTCAGACCTGCGCTGCTTTGATTTATTTTACATACAATGTAGTGTCAGATTTCACTGTGGGTGAGGGGATGCATTTAAAATCACTGACCGGTAACTTCACAGAGGCAAGGGTGTGGACCACATCAAAAACACCCTGCCAGCCTAACGCAAAAACAAGGCATGCTTCAGGGTATAACAGAACATGTCCTTACTTTATTCACATGAGTGTGGCTTGCATAAACTCTACAATCTACAATGAAAATGATTTTCAGCTGTTATTTTAGAAGGAGACACTGCTTTTAGCATGTTGTGTCTGCAGAATGGCTTGAATTGTATGTCGTCAGGAATTTACTGAAATAACAATTATCATGTGTGTTGTGTGTATCACGAATGTCACAGATCTCGCTGTGTTTGGGAACAAACGAGCTCATAGAGATATCAACGACCTGTCATGGATATGCAGCCCCACATGCTAGCACAAGACCTCAGGCTCCTCTTCAAAGTCTCTTCCTGTCACTCCTGAGAGTTGTTAGGAAACGACACAGGTGCGCTTAGGAAAAATTCTGCTTTTTACCTCCTCTGCTCACTTGGGTGATGTCTGATGCCCCCAAGCCACTGTCCAGGGTGCTGCTTCTTGGTGATCTTAAAGCTGCAAAACACCACAGGTGCTTAAATCCCAAGGGTCACCAAAGCCCTCATGAAAAAAGCCCCTTTGATTCTGTTTGCCACCTCTCTTTACAAGGCAGCCATACCTCATTTCTGAGTCCAGGCTGAGTATCAGACCACGCTATCCTCCACTCCCCATTTTTTTTTCTTCCTCTGGTCCCAAGCAACTGTGTGTGAAACGGGAAGATTGGGCTACTGGCTCTGTGTGCAATCTCAGGAACTGTGCTGACTCCTTGTAAATTATAAAACTCTCAGGAGAAAATCCAAGTAACCGTGGTTTAAATTATAGGATACTTATTATTAACAACAAATCTGGAAGAGTGTCCCAAGTTTGGTTCAGTGCCTCAACAACATCATCAAGAATCTGAGCTCTTCTTTTCTTTTCCATGTTGCCATCTTTAGCATGCTGGCTTTCACCATCTAGCTTATTGCTTCAGTCTCAGGATGGCTACTGCAGTTCCAAGTAACAGGTTCTCCCACTGCTGCCTACAAAGGCAGGGAGGGAGGAAATAAGAGTTCTCAATGACTGTGTATGTCTCTCATTCTTGAGGAAAAACTATTTTTTTCCAAGAAGCCCCCAAGAATACTCCATGCTGCTTATTGCCTTAAGCTCTCTCACAAAACCACCTCTAGCTACAAGAGAGTCTGGCAAGAAATAATTCAGTACTTTATTCTCAATCCTGGGAGAAAGGTGAGGGAGAAGGATTGCTTGTTGATGCTGCTATATTGTCCAAAATGACTTCAGTGTAAAATTTTACTATGATATGAACACTTATAAATGAACTTCCCTGACTGATATTGGGGCCAATCAGACTACAAATAAATTAAAACCGTTAGAGCTAGGCAATATTCAGATCACTTACCATTCACACAGAGTTGATTGTGTGCAGTTTAAGACCCAGAATCTAAATTATAGTACTTCTCAATGTAGCAATTTCTCAGTATCATGATGCTATTTTAAAAGCTAAAAACAAGTAAGAAGACCCACTTATAAAATAAGGTCTATGAGTAAAAGATTATGTGGCAAGAGCAAAATATCTGTAAATGTTATTGTGAGAAAAAAAAAGACGACAAAAATTGGTGACATGTGGGCTTCCCTGGTGGCGCAGTGGTTGAGAGTCCGCCTGCCGATGCAGGGGACACGGGTTCGTGCCCCGGTCCGGGAGGATCCCACATGCCACGGAGCGGCTGGGCCCGTGAGCCATGGCCGCTGAGCTTGCGCGTCCGGAACCTGTGCTCCGCAACGAGAGAGGCCACAACAGTGAGAGGCCTGCGTACAGCAAAAAAAAAAAAAAAAAAATTGGTGACATGTGAAGAAAGCAGCTTCTGCATAAATGACTTTCTTTTTTAACATCTTTATCGGGGTATAATTGCTTTACAATGGTGTGTTAGTTTCTGCTTTATAACAAAGTGGATCAGTTATACATATACATATGTTCCCATACCTCTTCCCTCTTGCGTCTCCCTCCCTCCAACCCTCCCTATCCCACCTCTCTAGGTGGTCACAAAGCACCGAGCTGATCTCCCGGTGTTATGCGGCTGCTTCCCACTAGCTATCTGTTTTACATTTGGCAGTGTATATATGTCCATGCCACTCTCTCACTTTGTCCCAGCTTACCCTTCCCCCTCACCGTGTCCTCAAGTCCATTCTCTAGTAGACCTGCGACTTTATTCCCGTCTTGCCCCTAGGTTCTTCATGACCATTTTT